CATCACATGGTTACGTGGATGGCATGGTCCATCGATGTCCCGAAAGGAAGACGACTTTCTCTACGAACGGGGGGGTATACCATAGAAGTTGTGGCCCACCATTGTTCTAATAGCCTGAATCGTATTATGGATTATGGATAATTATGTAATGGATTACTGTATAATGATTTTTGTAATCTAGATCTGTGCCATGAGACCACTGTACCTCATGCAGTCATGGATGGATGCCATGTACCCCGCGACGACTCTGCCGGAGATCGCCGGAGATCCCTGGAACGGGATGAAACGAGCTTTCCATCTGGATTTGAGTTTTTAGTGGGGTCATCCTCTCTCCAAGCCCAGGTGACCTGCAGGTAATTCACTGCAATGCTGGGTAGGGCGAGTGGACAAAGCCCCCAAGCCTTCCCAAAGGGGTCAATGTGACCATCCATGTATGCAATATTTACCATCTGACCATGTGAAAACCTCTTAAGGTCACTGCAATCCAAAACACTTCATCTACTGAATATATGCCTGTGTTGACCCCTTTTTCCCCAATTATAGATCTTATATTGGCATACATTCCCAGTCCCATGGATTGTTCTCTCCCCCCACCCCCTCGTTCGACTGCGCAGGGAAATCCGTGGCGCCTGCGCTCCTAGATCTGCACCACGTGGCGCTCGCACTTCCGCAGCTCGCACGAAGAAGCGGTCAACAGAAGGCGCCTCATGCAAACAGCGAGGTGGACGGTGGGACGGGAGATGTTCTCAGGAACAATGGGTTTCCCAGACGCTCCGTGAACGACGCTCGACTGGTCCCTATGTCCCTCAAAACCGGGATTGGTGAGGTCAGGACCCCTACTTAGGAGGGTCCGTGAGCGTCTGGGTTGGAAAAATCTACAACAAAGGTTGAAGAACCCGACTGTTCGACTATCCCAGTTGGGTTATTGCAAGTGACGGGTCCTAATTACGGTCACTGGCTACCTCTGTTGGAAAACCATAGTTTGGTAGATTTTCCCTTAAACCAACTCATTGAGTGATGGTCGAGGGCCATGGACTAAAGTGACAGTGGAGCAGAGTCGTCCCAGTTGTTCGACCCAAACGAGATTGACTGGGATCGATGCGGACCCCTGAAAGCAACCACCACAATACCATACATAGAGTCTCTGGGGTATAGGTTCCACGAAAACTTGTCCACTACACATTACATATGAAACCACCGGGCACTGCCAGTGGCTAGCACACCGCTGGTCAGCATTTGGCTTTAGCATGCTTGAGCAGCTATAGTTTGTACGGCATGCCTGGTTCACCGGGAGCTCAACAGTTCAACCAACAAAGGAAGGCTGAGAACGAAACGGACAGGTCTACAGTAGGACTGGAACCCTCTGACCACTGTGCTCGGGTCAAGGCACCAAGGCCTTTCTCTAGAAACCTTGGTCAGTACATAAAATTTTTTAAACTGGTATGTACTGACTTTGGCAACGAGCTCTGAGCTGTCAACCAGAAAGGCTTCGAAACGACACTTTTTCAACCACCTCCAATATACAGTATGTCAATATTCCATACCACAGACCATGCCCAATGGACCCCAGTTACCACAATCAAGCAACCAGTACCAGGGTTTCTTCCTTCGGTTAAAACGGTTTTAGACCACTGGCTACCGGCCTACGAACGTTGATTCATAGTGATCCCCTGGATCCTCCGGGATAGGAGTCTTTGGGCTAAGACAGCGACGTTCACGTGGACGCCGCCGTACTTCAAGCGGGTCGACGAACGGCGGCGGAGAGATCTGCAGGTCTGCGGCACGGCTGGGTGGAATTCTGCAGCGGGGGCGTGCTGGAGTCGGTCTCTGCGTGGAAGAGCTTTTTGAGGTCGATGGTGAGCTGCCTGGGTGTCGAACTGCCGCCCGACTGCCGCCGATGAGGCCCCGGGGTTGTTTTCCGAGGTCGCCAGCACCCTCCACCAGAAGGTGGTTAGCCCGAACAAGTTCCTGATTGCCCCCACCTTCGCAGTCGGACCGCGGACCGGGTCTCGGTGGCTTTTTTAACCCGACTCTGGCTAGCCCCCGGAGCACCACGAAACGGGATCGACATGGACCCGGAGAACCCTGAAAGTCCTTTGGATCATGTTAAACATGGTTGATCTGTTTCCCAGACACGACCAGTCTAGGACTGCCAGACAGGACTGCCGAGAAACGGCCAGGGGTGGTGCCAGAGGGGTCTGTTTGGGGCGGCATAGATGGCAGTCCCATTAGTCGTGTCTGGGTTTTGTAGTGAACAGAACTCATGATATAGATTATTAAAGCTTATATATATATATAATATATATTGCTTGTTTGTTAAATGCTGTTGGAAAAAGGGTGGATCGACCTCTATCGGGTTATTCCACGATCAAAGGTGTTATTCCACAAGTAGCAAGGAACCAAAGGTTCGGTCCACGGTGGTCTTTGGAACCAGCTGGTTGCTGGCGGTTTGCCTGCATCCACTGAGAGATACTATCCCTAGGGCTCCAACCACATCCTCATGCAGAAGCCAAATCCACCCCAACCATAGTCTCAGGAGGTGGTTGGAGCCCTAGGGTATATACAGTGAAGGCCCTATGTCACATCAACTTTTGGCTGGGAACTCTATTTCCTTTGCGATTCAATCGATGCGACCCCCTCACATCATGGTCACATCAACTCTACATTTAGCTTGTGGAAAAGGGTTTCTTTCAGGATGAAGTTAAACAAGAAGCATCGATGCGACTCAAACCCGCTACTGTACCATTGTGATATACCCATCAGCCTCGGGGGGTGCAAGGTCTATGTTTTTTAAATCCATCAGCTAGTCCCAAGTCTTAAAACTAAAATGCTTGCACCCGTCCCTTTTTTGGGAGTGGGTTTCTTTCGGCTTCAATCTTCACAAACTGGGCCTTGACCTGTAGTCGCTTCCCACATCAGTCACACCGAGAATGACGCATCACCCTAAATCTTGGAGACCCAGTCCCAACCAGAAACAGTTCTGGTTGGAACCCAATATGGCTCCTGAAAACATGGACAGTGGCTGGGACTGCGGAGTTTCATCCAGACTGGTTTTTCTGCTTCGGACGGGATTTCCAGGTATAGATCTTAAATCCTAAACCTCCACAGGACAGGACGGCTCTGTGTGTCTGATCAATTGACCGGTCTGCAGAACGCGTCGAACGACCGCAGCGCCGAACGCGGCGCCCGACGTGGAACGCGACCGACGCGTCCAGGGAACTTCTCAAAGTGCCTGCGACGTCGCTCCACCACTTTTTCCAGCTTGTCCTGAAGAATTCAGGCGCAATTTCAGGCACGGCACGAAGGCTGAGCTTGAAAAGGCCAGGAGATTTTAGGAGAAAGTTCTCCCGAAACCGAAGGTGGGGCCCCGGGCGTCCCACTCCAAAAAGAGTGCCAAAACTTCGTTCAACACGGTGGCCTCGCGCCTGGATTGGCCCACCAGCACGCCGAAAACCAACAACACGGACGCCCGGCACCACACCCCCCAAAAAGATCAAATACCAGGACCTTCCAAGAGGTGTCTATGAATAGTTTCTTAGAGCTGATTCGGGGTGTCCAAGAACCACCGGACGAACGTGTCATGTCCACCTTCGTCTGCCGACTTGCCGATCACTGCACCGAGCATCAGGACGCTCTTCCACCGTGAGCAAGAAATCGTGGAAGTCCCGTGCGAAGGCCTTGCCCTCGGGCGAAGGTCCATACCTGGAGTGGCGACCCCGGCGGGGTTTCACCCGTGTGACCCGCCCAGGAGGGCAGCTTTCGTCCGGTGTGCGGTGTGCGCCGGTGGTCTTTTGGTGGCGCGCGGCGGTCCAATCACCATCCCGGAACGACTCGCGGTCACCTAGTGACCTATGATCCACCACTTCTAAGGGTACAAAGACGATTCCGGACTTCTAGGGCGGAGGGCCAATGGCATGTCTTCGGAAACCCACCTAGGTGACATCCACCGACTCCGGAAGTCTCAGGAAAAAAAAGGTTCCCCGCACTTCCCACCTGTTCGCCGCTGTTTGGGGCTCCAAACCACATCCCCCAAACAACTAACCTGCACTAACATGCTCCAACAGGTCTCTACCCGCCACTCTTAAGCCTCCAAAAGCTACCAGAACAGACCTGTTGGAGGGTGCTGGCAAATGCTGGCAGGTGATCCACAACGTTTCCTGGGTAGGACCAAATCCCAAGCTGAGGTAATGTAGACTCTTGATTCATACACCCCCCCATTTGAATTGAACATCCTCTTCCAAGGGGGGGGGTTATTAATCAAGAGTCTACATTACCTTGCCTCCGCGAAGTTGTTCAATGATCGGAGGGCCGTTTCGAAGACCACCAACCATTGTGCTTCGGCCCAGCCGCGCAGGGACCGGGGCCCAAGCACGGCCGGACCGGGCGATGCTTCGTCTCCAAGCTGCCCCATCGAAGCGCTGCATGCCCGCCACGGCTGCGAGTCGCTGGACATCGGTGAAGAGTCGGTGAAGGTCGATGGTCGGGCGGGGCGAGGCTCAGCGGCTGCGGCGGTGGGCGAGGCACGGACGCCACGAGCCGCGCCACTCAACAAGATCCGATGTGTCCGTCCGTCCCTGCGTCCGTGGGTGCCGTGCGTACGTACGTCCGTGTATATATATATATATATATGTATGCTAATTAACATAAAACATAATGTTATATATGCCAGCACCCCCAAAGGGGCGCTCAATTAGTTTCAGCTTTAGTATGTTACAAGGAGCGCTTTATGGACACTCCTTAGACACCAGCCAACCGGTCCAACTCCCATGGTCACCTTCACATGCATGAACAGTGCTTTAAGGGTGAGTGAGGGGATCTTGGTCTCATTGGGTGTAAAGGTTCCCTTTTCCACTTCTCCACCCACTCCACCCACCCTCTCTGGCTGCGGCGGCTTTGGGCTTCCACGTGGCGGACACTCTGCAGGCTCGGTTCTGGGACCGTGCTGAGATCACAGGGCCTTGTTAATGACTAGTTTTGGGGCTTCAGCGAGGGTCGATGCTTTAAAGAATCAGCCTCCTAATGATCTCAGCCAAGAACAGCAAACGTACGCAGCATAGCGAAGCAAGATTTGCCTGCCCATTCCCTTTGGGTGGCTGCGTAAAGCAAACTGCTTCACTCGCCCCACCATATCTTCGTCTAAATAGGTGGAGCACTGCAGCACTTGCATATGTGGCGCGCTGTCGAGAACGATGTGTTGCAGCCTGAGTGCAATGACATTCACACAGACACACAGCATTCGTATAACAGTTATCAATTCTCAAATGTACATTCCGAAGAAACCATTTGCCAGACATGACGAGGAACTTGTGGAATTTAGGTCTGATTTTCCATAAGAGAATGCCAGAAGCTATCGATTCACTTGCCAAACCTGGGCGGCGCCCGTGTGGGGTATGAACAGCACCGCACCAGTACATGTGCGCAAAGAACCCTGCATGAGTAGTTGAGCCACGGTACTGTTCAGCGCACTTGAAAATAGAAACGCATACGATTGCAACGCTTGCAAGTTCTGCGCAGGAAGGACTATTCGAGATTGCTGCAGTGATATCGCCTGTCTCATGCCGACTAAGTTGATGAATAGTGCAGCCCTCAACCTCCGCTAAGCAAACTCAAGCGGACACATGCGTACGCAAAGTGTTTAAGCACAACACCAAGGGCTACCAGGGCACGCAGCATGCTCATCATTTGGTCGAGAGGCCGCAACAGCAAGACAAATGCCTTTAAGAAATCGACAGAGGATCGCGCTTTCCTCAAAAGCGAAAACACCATCACTGCTACCACCACGCACACGCAAATCACAGCGTGATCAGCCACTTTAATGCATGCACGAATCACTGCCGTTGAAGTGACGCTGGACAAGGGTTGGAAACTGGTGCCGGCCAAGAGGATACAAAGCTTTCCTAGCACAGGTGATTTCTCTAAGAAACTTAAGAGTTCTAACCTCCAAGTCAGCATCCACTGCAATCAAACTGATGCATCAAAGCAGCAAGCTAAAGATTTCACCTCTGTTACCTGAAGGCACTTGCTGTTTAAAGCATCACAGACTAAGAAAGCAGCTGAAGCACTATACATACAGGCGATCTACTAACCATGCAAGCTAGACTAACAATGCAAGCTAGAAACGCACACCGTGAATCTTGCACTCGCGCACAAAGTCCACATACGCCAAACGCAGTCGTTCATCTGGCGTGTCTCCAGGCCAGATCTCATCCGTTTGTGTTAACTCCACCAATGCACTTGCGGCACATTCTGGAGCTAACGTAAGGTCCACCACATGCAGCCAATCAAAGTTTATCAGGTCGATGTGAAACCCGGGCAGCATCACCCATGGGTTTGGCTTCACTGCCTCCATGATGAACTCAGACGTGTCCAGCTTTGTAGTTCTGTGCGGGGCATTGACACCAAAGGTGGTATACACCATCGGACCTGATTTGCTTGCCCTACACAAGGCACATACATTCTCCGAGACCCAACTGGTCTGCAAGCGAAGGGTGCGCTGCAAGAATTTCTCGTCACCTTTCAGATTGACAAGCACTCCTTTGTATGGACCAGCCACTGGACCCTGAGGTCGCGTGATTGGGTTCTGCCAGGGGTCAACTGACATGTAGCGGCCTTCCTGGAGTTCGATCAAGGACCACATCAGCCACATGTCTAGAGTCATGTAGCTTTCTTGGCAAGCCTGCGCATTATCGATCGCATACAGCAAGTACCGTGTGTTAAACTGGCTCCCATAGCACACAGCAGACGCCAGTGTCACAACACAAAAGGATCTCCGTCGATGTGCTTCAGCATCGTCCCCATGAACCACTAGTGGCACCCAGTACTGCAAGTCCTCTAGCGAAACCTTTTACAAGCTGTCACATGCAGAACAAACGGGCGGGTGCACAAGCACTAGCACATAAAACATCATAAACCACCAAGCTTGCACAATTCACACTATGTGCATGCTAGTGTCTTGGCTGAGCAAAGGATGCTCTTTGAACCACGATGTTTGCATTTGAGCTTTCCAGAACATTGCCAAATCCTCGCTGCGTTCAATTTAATTGGCTGAAAAAACTGTCACAGCATTCGACATTCCACATGACACACCATTGAACCCAATGTATGCGACTCAGCATCCCCAGGCTCCCCAAGAAAGCGTGCACGGAAAAGCTCAAAATCATATGCATACATCGCTGCAAACCTCAGCTTCAGTCAAGCTGCAATTGGTCCGAAAGGGGGGATGCCCACATTCATCAACCCATCGAAAGGGCAAGTTGCACATCTGCAGGAAGAAATACATGCCAGATTCCCAGGTATAATGGCTCAATTCTGCTGCGATCTACCAAGATCAACTCCACCCTAAGCTCTTGGAATAGGGTTTGGACACTTACTTCCCTTTAAACAAGTAGAACGTGATTGTTCAAATGGTACAAAGTAGCTGAACTATGCAAGGGTCTCTTTTGGAAATGGCAGCATTCTGCGCCAGGGTTGCCTGTTTAGCCACGCCCAGAAGCGTTCACCACAATGTTTGGTGTCAACATCATCAATCGAAGCTAGATCCCGCAGATTCCTCCTGATTGCACGACAGATGCATCCATAAACAAAGCACAACCAAGAAAGGCCAACAGACCCTAAGAGGCAATTTTTGGACGCGACCTTTTTAACTTAATTTAGAAGCTTTTTAGACATAAGAAAGGTCGCGTCCAAAAATTGCCTTTTGGGGTCTGTTGGCTCATGTTGGAACTGGTACAGCGATCCCCAGCAACCATAAATCCCCTGTAACAACCCATATAGTCCAAGACTCGGTAAGAAGCGTCCAGGTACCCTTTTTCGTAAAACTCCCAGCATTGCAACGAGAGTTGTAACACTCACCTGGGCCCGGTGGACCATGGTGAGATTGCAATATTGTAATCGTAAACAACCAAGGGCCGGATCGAAAACTAGTGCACTACAAGTCACATTGCGTCCGAGCTCCAAGAACTCTTCCACAATGTCCATTGTCCCGACTCAAACTAAAAAGCTATCATGCATGCCTGCTGCAGATGTTACATATAAAAAATCCATGGCCAGGGAACCGATGTGTGCCATATGTGAATTGGTTTAGTGCCACCAAAGTTGGTACAATAGATGACACTTGGGGCATCAGATATGTGGCCACTGGTTGAAAATACCATCCCCATCAAGCCCTTCCCAAAGAGCTGCAAGAATGAAAGACTCATATCGGCTGTCCGTTACACATGCTGCAACATGAAGAGGCCAGAAAACATAGATTAAATGTGACAAAGATCGATAGGGCAATCGTTGGGGGCCATCGATCATTGATGTGTATAGCCGTATGACTATTCATTGATGCGCACCTGCACACACAACAATGTAAGGTGCGCACACCTTTTGGCCATATCTTTCGATATCAGCTGTGTACCCCAAGTACTTCGATCATGGTCACTTGCCAGCACACTCACGATGTCAGGCCAGTGTGGGCCAGTGGTGGCAAGACAACTTCGAAGCGTGGATGCCCAGGTTCGCCCGCGCATCATCGAGCTTACAAGACTAATTAGTCACACGGCCTGCAAGAGTGGAAACAATGATGGATATGTTTGAACAATTATTTTTATTTGATAGTGTTGAAAGATGTTGACATGAACACTATGTAACACGAACACTATCATATGGCCAGTGTGTAAGAAAGGACACCCAAGAAGCAACGATTGAATCCCTTTCTGAACCACTGGTCGTGAAAGTCATTTACCATTTCAAGTTTAACACAATTGCATGGTCGATCCAGTGGTGGATCTCCATGGGTACTTCAAAACAACTGTGGCTCAGGTCTAGGGGATATATACAGCCAACCAGCTGGATTTGCTCTACAATGAAATTGGTCTGTAGCAAAAAGACAATTCAACATGTTCAGGGGAACCATCAACATAATCAATCCGATTCGCTTTCACCAGCTTCCTGATTGGCAGTTTTTTTCTTGGGCCCCTTAACAGCAGAAACACGGCGTTTGCCATCTTTTACATCGGTATCGATCGGCTGGATAAGTTCCTTCTCCGCTTCGATGAGAAGAAGAATCGCAGCCGGATCCACCTGACTCAAAGGGGTCTTCACCTTCTCACTCACACGCTGAGAGCCATCACGAGCTTTAGGCACATGGGATTCCAGGCATCTGACCTAAAGGACTGTTCATGTACGCAAATCCACGAGCAGCTTGAACATGTTTCACTGATGCAACAATGTTTGATGCAAGTGGGCCACAAGCTCACTGGCATTCCGTACTTTGTACTCGGCCAATTCAGAAATGACCTTCTCGAGGCCATTCAACAAATCCTTCCACCTTAGTGTGTTGGTCCAGTGGTTTTGGGTACCCGCAATGTGTGTTTTCTCCCCCGACATTGGCCTAAGTTTTTTTGGTAAACAGAAATTGAACCCAGTCGCTTTTTTTCCACCTTCTTGAGTTCAGCAATGGCTTCCTGTTCAGGTGGTTTCTCCTTCTTCGGTTTTTTTGCTTTGATGGCCCCCGTCTTCAAGTCCATAAACTCACCGATGTTTGCTCCAAGACCCCCGAGTTGTTTCTGCAGCAATGCTTTAGCTGCACCATCCTTTACTCGGCCACTGAGAGACACCTGAGCTATTCGAGCATCTTAATGCGTCCAATCGCAACCACGAGACCTTTAAAACAAAAATAATGGTGTTGAGAATAGTCAAATATCAGCAGTCAGAATACCTCTGATGCACCACGCTGACCTTTGCTGGTGTCTTCAATAATCTCCTTGAGCACCTTGTAAAGACGGGCTTTCTTGATCGATGGTGCCTGCAACATGCACCAAGGTGTTCACTACAGTCCTTGCAAGACAACCGCTAAGCCAAGACAGGCCAGTGGAACCTGCGGGTGCGGCACACCTGTCTGGCCTCAGGGTTAAATATAACTTATGGTCTGGGCACCAACATCGACGGTGAACACATTGGACGAAGTGTGTTTGTCCAAGGCACCACGCAACACTTCAGCAATAAAGGCGAGAGCTTCTTTGCTCGTTCCATAGATCTTCTCAAGTTGGAGTTCCGATACCTTGTGGGCTAGTGTGTACTTATGCCTTTTTTCATGCGCTGAGGCAAAGATCTTGAGTATACAATGTGCTATAATACGCTAAGCCACTGTCACATATCGGTCAGTCCGCAGGGACTCAACCCAGGACGTGTACCGTTCCTCTACAACCATATCCGCGAGGTTGGGGTTTCGAATCCATTCTTTGAGCATGGCGAACCTAGGTTTCCACAATATGACACCGGTTTAGCAATGCACAGTTTGGACTGAGTGTCCTCATGTGTTAGCAAAGTAGCCGCTCGGGGTCACTGCACAGGTTGAACTTGGCAACAAGCTGCGGTGATGCATCCCGCACGATACATCGACGTAGTGCACTGTACTGTCGTTTGCGCTCCTCAGATTAAGAACTATATATCATAAGCCGATATATTTTATCTTTTAGCAGTGACCCTGCAACATAATTTGATGCAAGACTCGTCCGAATCCATGTCCGAAGGCTTGCTCATTTTTGAAATCTTCTCGAGCTCCTCCGAGGTCCACTCCCTCTTCCGAGACTGCCGCTCGGATCCACCAGTGGTGGAGGGAGGTGTGTCACGGTCCTTGGCAGTGGCAAGGGAATGTAGCAATGCCAATTGGGGTATGACTCCATGTCAAAAACCTACTTCCCACAAAAATATTTATACCAGGCCTTCACAATCTAGCAAGGGCTATGTAGTAAGACTGGAAAATCAGCCCGTCAGTATTATATCCAAGGCACCGAACCAAAGCTCAACTTCCGTGCAGTAGCCGGAGATTCTGGAAGAATCATGGAGTCAATTGTGGACTGCCTTTCTACCAGCAGGTCCTGGGACAACATGTCACATGATTTTGAATTCATTCAGTTAGCTACGATCTATTATGGGTTTATGGGGGCAGGACAGATAGAGCCACGGGTTGTTGGCAGAGACCCATCGACTGATTCCACAAAGAAAGTTTTCTTGATGCTTGATTTCCGGATGCACTAACAACATATCTTGAGTGTTTACCCTTGACCTGATAGAGCCATGGGTTCTTGGAAGAGGCCACATTGACTGGTTCAACAAGTGACCGAGCCATATATGCACACGTGTCCACACCTGCACTCACACAACACCCCCCCAAATCAGTCCTTGCTGTTGGCCCGCTTTGCTGGTGGTGCTTCCTCCTCCTGTCTAAACGTTTGCTTGCTTGTTTTCTTTGGCTCTTCTTCCTTTGGTGTTGCGTTCTCCATGCTCGTCTTGCGCAAGGGCGCTGCCTGTACGAGAACAGCTTGCAAGTCATCCTGCTGTTGTTTCCTTTTGTGTGCCGGACCCCTTGCAGATGAAGGCATCACAGCTTGTGCTTTCTCACGCCAGGCCTCATTTAGCGCTTCAACATCTTCCTTGCCACTCATCTCTGCCAGCTCTGCCGCATTGCCAGCAGCCTTTGCCTTTTGCTTTGCTTCCTTCTCAGTTGCCTTCTCTGCATCCTTCTTCTTTCCTTTGTGTGCTTTCTTTTCCGTCTCCTTCTCATTTGGCTCCTCCTTCTTCTTTGTTTTGTCTTTCTCATTCGGTGGAGCCTTCTCTTTGCCCTTTTCAGTCTTTTTGTTTGCATCTTTGCCCTGATCATTGGCCTTATCGTCATTGTTGCTCTCATCATCTTTGTTCTTTGGTGTCTCACCTGTTGTCTTCTCCTCGTTGTGTCTCTTTTCATCTTCCTTCGTGGGTTTATCATTTTGTTTATTCTCAGCTTTGCTGCTCTTCTCATCCGTTTTCTTTGACTTCCTTTCTTTTGCCTTCTTTGCGACTTGCTCTACCGTTTTGCCAGGCACCTCAACCTTTGGCTTCTCATCCTCATGTTTCTTTGTCTTCTCCTCATGACTCTTACCCTCCTCCTGCTTCTTCTTCTTCTTCTTCTCATGGTGTGGTCTCGAGTCGAGTGCATCTTCTCCGGTCTTTTCTTTAATCTCCAGCTGAGATGTGTTCTCCTCAGTTGCCTTCTCTGCTTCTTTCTTCTTTGCTTTGGACGCTTTCTCTTCTGTCTTCTTTTCCTTCGGCTCCTCCTCCTTCTTGTTCTTTTCCTTTTCATCCGCTGGAGTCTGCTCTTTGATCTTCTCAGTCTTTTTGTTTGCACCTTTGCCTTGATCCTTGGCCTTCTCCTCATTGTTGTTCTTCTCATCATCTTTGCTCTTTGGTGTCTCACCCTTCTCCTCGTTGTGAGTCTTTTCATCCTCCTTCATAGGTTTCTGCTTCTTTGCATTCTCAGCTTTGCTGCTCTTATCGTCCTTCTTCTTTGACTTCTCTTCTTTTGCCTTGACCGTTTTGTCAGGCACCTCAATCGTTGGCTTCTCATCATGTTCCTCCTTCTTCTTTGACTTCTCTTCTTTTGCCTTGACCGTTTTGCCAGGCACCTCAATCGTTGGCTTCTCATCATGTTCATCCTTCTTCTTTGACTTCTCTCCTTTTGCCTTGACCGTTTTGCCAGGCACCTCAATCGTTGGCTTCTCATCATGTTCCTTCGTTTTCTCCTCGTGGCCCTTGCCCTCCTCTCCAGTCTTTTCTTTACTATCTGCCTTCTGAAGTGGCGTCACCTCAGTTGCATTCGCTGCTTCCTTCTTCTTTTCTTTGTGCGTTTTTTTTCTTTCTTCGACTCCTCCTTCTTGTCCTTGTCTTTCTCATCCTGTGAAGTCTTCTGTTTGACCTTGTCTTCCTGATCCTTGGCCTTCTCCGCACTCATTGTTTGTTTCTTTGGATCCTTCTCATCCTGATTTTCCTTTGGCTTCTCTTCCTTTCGCTTCTTCGATTCTTTGTCTTCTATATCAGCCTTCTTATCAGCCTTCTGCTCTGGTTCCTTTTGTTTGTCTTCCTTCCGCTTCTTTGAATCCTTCTCCTTCACCTGGGTCTTTGGCGTCTCGCCAGCAATCTCATTACTCCTTGGTGTCTCTTCCTGTGAGCGCTTCTTTTTTCTACTCGCGTCCTCAGTCTTGGAAGGTTCTCCCTTCAACGTCTTCACTTTCTCCTCTGAATTGCCAGCTAGCTCATCGACCTTTGCTTTCTTCACCTTCTGGTTTGTCTCTGTCTTCTCCTCTGGTACCTTCTCTTCTCTGCTACGCTTGTCCTTTGTCTTATCCTTCTTTGCTTTCTTATCTTTCTTTTCTTTGGTACCTGAAGTGCTTTTCCCAGCTGACTCACGCAGCTGTTCTGTGTCGTCCCCCATGGCCTCGAAGAAGGCTCGACCCCACGTTCAAACACAAAATCACTCGAGCAAAGAAATCAATGCGCGTGGATCGATATCGAGTCCCTTCAGCCTCAAATCGATCGATCGATTTGGTTGCGACTGAGATCAAAAAAAGGCACAATTGTGATTTTTACAGCATCTGTGACACGCGAATGACACGCTCTCGACTACCCGACACGTTTTCCAAGGAGCGCTTTTTGGACTACCCTTTTGAGACACGATTTCTAAGGAGTGTTTTATGGACTATCCTTTTAAACAAGGAGCGCTTTTTGGAGACCCCTACCTGAACCCCAATGACACGCCATTGACACGCATTGACATGCACCAAGGAACGTTTTTCGTACTCGAAAAACAGCCGGAGTGAATCAGACTCTTGTGGTCGAGGTTCTGTAAGTGTGGCCGACGTGGGATGAAACTAGTATTCTGGAAAATGAGACTCGCTAGATGAAAAGTTACACTTGCAATCCACCAAAATTCACCACACCCACTGGCCCACTGCACTATGTGCAGGCCGTTTTCTCGTACTTGGCACGTACGATCATCTCGTACTCCTCGATGGATTTCCGATCGCAATCACAATCTCGAGAGATGTTCAGCAGGTTGCGATAGTCTTCCCTTGGAACAGTTATAACGTGTAGTGTAACGTGTGTGTACCCCTTGAACAGGTTGTGCTTGATGTCAAACAACACAAAGAAAACATGCAGGCCACAAACTGACCAAATATTGCAATCGATTGGAACCTAGGATCGGTTCCAAATATGGTTCAAGAACCATAGCCCAACAGCTGAGGCAAATCTTCTCGCACACGAGAACATCAAACAAGTCTGGCGTAACGGTCGTATGCGACATGTCCGTGTATAGGCAACGGCTATGGAACTTGAAGTGTGAAAAGCTGCTGTGCCCATCAAGGTGGCCACTATTATGCAACAATGCACCGTTCATTCCAGCGTTCCATCAGCAAGAGCCTTTTGCAACAGAGCTCCCGCCAGTAGTGTTTGCAAACACTGCTGCAAACACTGGTCGGGGAAGGTAAAAAGGATCTGGAACAATTCGAACAGTTGCTCGATTAACATATGAAGAATTCTAACGCCAGCGCTTGTGTGTACACCTTCCCATACCTTCATATACCTTCCCCATTCCAATTAAGTGCACTGGGTGGGTTTCCTACAGCTTTCTCCACCAAGTCGATCCCCCACCACAAAACAAATCCTTTAAGGCATCGAGGTCATGCCCTTCAGGGTACTCCATATTCATGGGCCCATCCCCTGGCACGACACCCCGCTCTCCAACGAGACCAGCCAGCGCCAATCCAAAGCCGCGGGGATAAGCAGCGCTCTCAGCAAGACATCGTTTGTTTCCAGCCTGAGCCGTGGCAGGCCAATAGTAATGACTCTGACCAGGAACCCAACTGGCCAGGCCCTCGATCCTCCCCGCCAAGAAGCCACACGAGTTCGTCCATGCTTATCCACCGTCTTCTTGACCAGCTTGACATTGTTCCTGCAGCTGCACAGCAGCCACACACAGCAGTGACAAACCAAAACGGAATGCACATGTGCACTGATCATTGAGTAGCGCTGGCAGACTATGATCGACTATGCCTAATATACCGAGCTGTTGAACAATTACAAACAGCTTCAGAAGGCACAAGAGGCGCAGCGCAAGCAACTCAGGGCACAAGAGGCGCAGCGCAACCAACTCAGCGCAGCTGCAGAAGGCACAAGAGGCGCAGTGCACTGCAAACAGTGATCAATGCAGACGCTGGCAAACGCCACAAGCAGACAATGCACATTGAACAGAGCTCAGAGCTCGCCAAAGCCGTCGGGCCAAACAGAACCTTCTGCTCTACACAGGAACTGATTTGAGCAGGTCATGCCCACCAGTGGACAGCGTCACAGTCATGATGGTGGGCTGTCCGACGAGAGGACTGTCAAAGTTCGCTTGATATGCACTTCCATGCAAATACACCTGGACAACGAGAC